CTCGGAGTGGTTTGGCTATTTGGCTCGAGTCTGAGCTGCTTTTAATTTATATGGCCACACGCACACAACCATAAATTGTCAGGCTTGTTCAGAGACCTGTCTCACGCTGCGAGTTGGCGTTGAGTATACGCAATGTTGGCCTGTACCTGGTCCAGCTGACACTCAGCTCTGCTGAAGGCTTCTAGTTCTAGTGGATAAGCCAGTAAATATGCATTTAGTGATAAACCAAGTGGAGCTGCTTTTATACAATAAACCAATAAAGAGGCAATAATTTGGGGCGAGCAGAGTCGAACAACCGGATAACTGAATCGCGCATGGCAAACAACAAAGCACAAGCACAAAAGCATCCTCCCTCGCATAATTTCTCATCGAGCTGATGCGAATGTAATCCCCATGTTGGACTAAGTGGAGCACTGGCTAAACATAAGGACCACTTTCACTCGGTTGGCCAGCAGACACAACAACAGCATAAAGAATGCGCCCCCTCCACTCCCCTCTGGCCGTTTCATAGTCGGCCACTGTGTGTGGTTTTGTATTGTGTCCGTGTCCGTGTCTCCGGAAGCGCATTGTCAGCTCCATTAATGTTGATTATACGTTAATGTAAAGGATCTCGCCCAACTGGTGAACGCGACGCGGCGCTTCGCAACTGTCCCAATGGGTTGGCGAAGGACGGGTTGCCCAGAGGGGACTAAATGTGTTTCGGCGGCGGTGACCGCAGTGCAATTTTCCAGTGCTTTGCAGCGAGCAGACTTAAAGCGGCGTGGAAAAGTTTTGTGCAAAGTTTTAATTTGCATTCGGGATGTGCCGGCCAGGTAATCGGGGTGTGCGAGGTGTGAGAACCCCAGGGATAATTATAATGCCATTAGCGTGTTTAGTTCACAATCAGACTTAACTGCTAAAGCCCGTGCCACTAGCCCCGCGCCAATTGGCTGCTGCGAGCTCATCCTGCGGCTCTCAGATACTTTGCTGAGTTGTTTCTTCTTTTTCTTCCAGCAGCTTCTGCGCGGCCATGCTAACGAAACTCAAATGGAATGCTGAATGTTTATTTACGCAGCAAGAGCTGTCAACCGACTGGGCGTGTCACTGGCCTCAGCTATTTTGTCGCATTTTGCATATTGCAAAGTGCCGCGCGGAGCTGCCAGGCAACAATTTAGCTGCTCCACTGCAAAGCAATTTGAGGCCAGTGGAGTATGACAGTTTTTTGCGGATTGCTGCTGGCTGATTCCTTAAGGTCAATTTAAGGGCATTGCAGAAGACTGCAAGCCAGCGATATGCGGCTGTAAATAAAGCAAGCAAACGCAGTCAGCCAATGGAATATTTCCTCGAATTCGAAACGACAGAACACAGAATATGAGTCAGTATTCTATGAAAAAAACTCAAAATGTTTATATTAGCTGAGAATGATTTATGGCATTGTGTGGTATGTGGAAATACTTGGTTGAATAATGATATATGCTGAATTGAATCAGTCGAAAATAAAAGATTAAGAGTTTACATGAAATCTTAAGTTACAAGTCTTACAGGAATCCTCCGTAAATACTCAAGACTGTGACTTAAAGTAGAATAAAATAATATAAACAAAACGCTTGAATACTTTAAAGCTCCATTAAGCACTTGATTCCTGTAATTAGCAACTCATTTAATGAAAATATACTTAAACTGCATATTATATAAGGCATGAGACTCTCTGTGCCCAGTTGCCAGTGCCGACTCCTGCAGCCTTTGCGATTGCTCAACTTAACTCAACGGAACTTTAAGTCGGCGCGTGTGCCAAGGAATACAAAATAAATGCGTTAGTTTCTTGTGCGAATTACGACCTTTGCCTGAAGCTCAAGGATACTTGCTTGGTGCACTTGATGCCAAGAATATATATACCCTGACTGACTCAGAGTTGGCAGAGAGGCGAATTCAATAACTCGTTCGCCACGCACCAGAAATCTTCCAGTCGATTTAAGCCCGTATCTTTGTCACTGCCAAATTTCGTGGCCAAAGCCTCGGCTTACCTGCCAATCCGGATTGGGCGAGGCAGCGGCATTTGCCATAACGCATCACTAAACGGGCTGAACAAAAATAAATTTTCCAAGATGCAAATGAAACTTGCTTGGTGAAACTTGGTGGAATATGACTGATTTTTTTCCCTCTTTTATTATGATTTTTTTTAGGTGTTTTATTATTACTTTCTTGCCCCTCTGCGACGCTTGCACACTGTTAAAATTAGCAAGTGATGCGGCTGCCGGCCGACGAACTGTTGATTCAACTCGGCTTTGCAAGCTCAGCCATGATGGGCTCTCGATATAACGAACGCGACCTTATCAATTTAGCGTTTCACAGCAGAGCCACTCGGCTGCCGGCTTACCTCGATGGCAGTTCGCTTGTCTGGCTTGTTTTGGAACTCGGTTTTGGACCATTGGCTGCCATTGCCAGTGCTGGTCTGAACGGGCAGAGACGATGCCGCACATGGATGCATTCAACTTTACGCTAATATCACATGCTTTGATTACAGTAGCGTGAAATTTTATTGATTGGCCAGCCAGCGTCGCTTGGATGACGAGGCAGGCCACTAGGTGAATAAGGACAAGCCGCTCGCTCAACATTTATTGATGACGATGCTCTTCGTCGTCCTCAAGGCTAAACTGAACGATGTCCTAGAGCAAAGCTATATAAATTCAGAGTTGAGAAAAACTATTAAAGGCATCCCATTGAATACAGATATGAACAATTTGCAGACGAAATTTAATTGATTTTAAGGCATTTGATTTGTAAATCGATTCTATATATACCATCTGATGTCAATTGAGTTTATAATTATTTACTGAAAGATTTGATTTAATATGATAACCAAAACGAACTTCACATTTTTCTTAGTTTTTCAAATATTAAAAGCTAAGCTAAGCTTTAAATATATGATAGATCTTTAAAGTTCTTACCTCATGCTTTTGACATTAGTTTACATGAATAAATATAATTTAAATTATAATATTATATGCAGCATTTATAAAATAATTTTGTATATAATAGTCTTACGTATGCCACTAGCACGTGCATCAACCTCAGTGCGCCTCATCCAAGAGATCCAAGCATTGAATTTCACTCACAATGTCCTTCACACTGAATGCATATGTGTATGGAGAGCAAGTGTGAGTGTGTGTGTGTAAGTGTGTTTGTAAGTGGGTGCTTGTGACAGGAGCTGCCGCCTTCGCGACCATATTAACTACTGCTGCTGCTGGCGTTGGGGCAGCGGCCCACTGGCGCTGGCTGCCGGCCTTTTGCCAGGGGCACTGTGTGAGTAGTTTTATCCATGGAGCCACCCCGTCTGACAGTTCCAGAGTTTTTGTGTTTTGTGCCGCATCTTTGGATGCTGGGCCATCGTCTGATTGCTTACTTTGTGCGCTCTTATTTCTGCTCTTGTCCTCGTGCGTCCTCGATTTCTTGTAAAAAATACGAAAATCCCTCGCAAAAGCAGAAAAATGCCGTTGTCGCTTAAATTCAATTGAAATCGCTTCAGCTTCAATGCCAGCCCAACGACAGGCAATCTGTCGAGTCTCGAGTCTGATTGAATAAAGCGCGAATGCGCGAAATACGGCTTGTTGGATAAATGCTGAGACGCCGCATGATTGAATGCTGCCAAGCGATACGAGCCAGATATACACACAATATGGCTTTGGCATAATGATAATTTCATATGAAATAAAGAACGCGTAAGTCCTGTAAATGATTGCCAGTTAATAGCGTTATTCTGATCAATAAAATGTATCCGTTTATTATACACAACTTTCTTAAAAGTAAGAAATGTTGTTGGAAATCAGAGTGTTATAAAGTTAATGTTATTAAGATAGCGAAACTGCATTTTATAATTTAAACTATAGAGGGAAAATATATCGATTATTCGTATTATATTAGATACCGGATCTTTATATTTGATTAATTGTTCGAAATGTTTATACCAATAAAATTTTACTTAACTTACATACATACATACATAGCTACGTGGTATCACAGAGTCATGCATACCCCTCTGTATAATTGATATTCCTTATAGACCTTGTTTATTTACCCGAGTTTCTAAGAGATCTAAATCGTGTTAAAAGTATAAGGTAAGATAATCAAATAAGCTCACAGTAACCTTTTTGAGCATGCTTATGTACTTTAAACAGCTACACATGTTATGTGCATGTCTATAACAAAATATCACAACACGTTTAATTAACAAAGAGCTGTGTAGAATACCAAAAATATCACTACTCACAATCAGTATCTGTGTACATACATACATACATACTTAGATTACATAGCTGATTAGAGCAATTATGATAAAAATTTGGCAAACATTTTTATTGCGCGGCTCGATAAGCCGGTAATGAATGCCTGAATGGTAGCAACAAAGCAAATGAAAAAGAGACTTGCTTGGCTGCGTGTAAATGCATGCATGTAAGATGACATACAAACAAGAGAAATTACGGCTGTGCCTTCATATACATACAAACATACATACACATGTGTAGTTAAATATGAAGATGTGAATGCATAACTAAATTAGTTGCATTCTCTTTAGCTGCTCAATTGTATGGAACAGCGAACGTAAAACTAGCTCAGCTGTTCAGTGTTTAACAACACCGTCTTGACCAAAGAGAGGGGCATAAGTAAGAGAGAGAGAGAGAGAGAGAGAGCGCGAGCAAGCAGCTGAGAGGCAAAAACCACCATGGTACTTGCAGGGCTGTCATCTGTTCCGACACACACTTTGTTCTTTCACCCACAATGTATGAGAATTATTATTTAAACACATAGTAAAAATGTTATATAGAAAAAACAATATTTAAAATTCATTGTTGATAAACTTATGTATATAAATAGAATTTTTCTTATTGCATACGTTATTAACAAAGGGAATGCGGTCGCCCGCACAAGCTCTCAACAACCCTGTTTTTCTCTCGCGCCGTCGCTGTACACGTCATCAGCTGAGCAGCTACAGCAGAAAAATGCAATTTATTATTGTTGTACCGCGGTTTAGCTCTTGTCCATTGCAACTGCGACATTTTAGTTTGTGTAGATTCTGTCGCACAACAAAGTGTAATTTGGGGCAGGCAATAGTGCAACACGTGAACTAATTGTGACGCCTAAAATAGAAGCACTCTGTGACGACACACACACACATACACACCCGCCCGTGACATTGATTCACATTCACAAAGAGCCAAAGAGAAAGCAGCTGTTGGCCGTTGGCCGTTGGTTGGAAAAAAACAACGGTCTGTGAGCAAAAGCAAAAATAAAACGAGGAAGTGTCTGAGTGTATGTATGTAGCCACCCGCCGCCAGTATCAGCTGCTCGCTCTGGCCGTACGCAAAATTTATTATTAATTCAGCTAAAGGCAGCGTTTGCATAAAATTAATACAATTTTTTGCACATTCCCAACAATAACAGCAACGGGAGCGGAGCTAAATTGCAATAGCCTTGCGAGTGCAGTGACAGCAGCGAACGCAACTGGAAACTGTAAGCTGGAAGTAATTGAGAACACTGCGATAGAGGGCAGAGTGCATTTAATCAAATCGTTTTGTGTTGTGTAATCAGAAAGTGAACGGAAAACTCGCTGGCAATATGTCTGATAAGGAGTCCAGCAGGAAGGTGACACCTCCGAAAGGTATGAAATATCTAATTGGAGGTGCTAGTGGAATGGGCGCTACGTTGTGCGTGCAGCCGCTGGATCTGGTCAAGAATCGAATGCAAATCGCCGGAGCGGGTAGCGGAAAAAAGGAATTTCGTAACTCCTTTCACTGCATTCAGACGGTCATCAGCCGCGAGGGACCCCTTGCCCTCTATCAGGGTATTTCAGCAGCGCTGCTGAGGCAAGCAACCTACACCACTGGTCGTCTGGGTGTGTACACTTACCTCAATGAAGAGTATCGGGCGCGCTTCAACCGCGATCCTAATGTGGCGGCCAGCATGGCGATGGGAACTATAGCTGGCGCTTGTGGTGCCTTCATTGGCACGCCGGCAGAAGTGGCTCTTATTCGGATGACCTCTGACGGCCGTCTGCCTCCGGCGGAGCGACGCAACTATAAGAATGTGGGAAATGCGCTGGCCCGCATTACGCGTGAAGAGGGCCTGACTGCGCTGTGGCGCGGCTGTTTGCCCACAGTTGGTCGCGCCATGGTCGTGAACATGACCCAATTGGCTAGCTACTCGCAATTCAAGACCTACTTCCGTACGGGACCGCTCCAAATGGAGGAAGGCATCAAACTGCACTTCTGTGCGAGCATGCTTAGCGGACTGCTGACAACGATAGCATCGATGCCCCTAGATATTGCCAAGACACGCATCCAAAACATGAAGATTGTTGACGGAAAACCAGAGTATAAGGGTACAACAGATGTGCTACTCCGCGTTGCCCGACACGAGGGAATCTTCTCGCTGTGGAAGGGCTTCACGCCTTACTACTTCCGTCTGGGTCCGCACACGGTGCTTACCTTCATACTGATGGAGCAGTTGAACTCCGCCTTCAACAAGTATGTGCTGGGCGGAGACAAGCGTGGATCCTCAATATAAGAGAACTCGTCCAGCTGTAGCGGGCTCATTGATGTTGTTAAAGGTTTCCCGCAAATCCTTGTACTGCTAGCCAATAAGTTCAATGGCTCAACTACATATTCCAAGCAACTCTCCGAACGATGATGGATTAGTAAATACGATCAAAACGACAAATATATGGTTCTATATACACCCATATATATTTGTTGAGCGACAATACGAAAAGTGGGGCATTTAAGGTCGGAAATTCCGTTGACAATATGATAAAATATAAAATGTTTGTTGTTAAATCTTTTCTATACAAATATTTATGTAAATTGTAATATAGAACCCTAAGTGAAAAGTGTATTCTGAATAAAGCACAATAAAGAAGCATTGTATTCCCCAATCTAACAACACTTATTAGTTGATTGCTGTTCAATTTAGGCTTTCTAATATCTCGCGTACACGATATGACTGCGAGCTATCAGTGTCAACAGAAACTCTCATTACAGCATATTAAATACCTTGTCTCACCTGAAAACATTCCCACCCACTTGTTGCTCTCAGCTAACGCAAATAACACTTAGCTACCGCTTGCTAATTCAGCCAACATACATTATCTCCAACCATATTACCTAACGGGACAGTGTGAAAATATTCAAGTTCTGGCATACGCAGTGGCTGACTTACCTTCACATCGTTGGCATTTCGCTTCATTGATAGCAACTCAGCGATAAGCCCTGTCAAGAGGGTAACTTGACTGTGCGTAAGGTTAGTTCAAGATAGCTGAATAAACAAACAGGTATTATATTCCATGCTCACGATTCAGTCTTATATAGGCATTTCTTTTCAGAATTATGCGGCATTATTTTTCCAATTTTGAATTATTGATTCTATGATCTCATATCTAGACTTTGTTTACTGCAAGCTTATATAGCTAAAAATATATCAAATGGCATTACTGACAATTGAAAGTGTCATATTAACTTTCCTCTTCATTTATAAAACAAAAAGCCAATATTTATTAGATTATTCTCTGAAAATTCATTTAAGATTGAATTTCTATAAAGCACATATAAATAATCACGTAAAAGCGTATATAACGCACGCACGGAATAACTCTTTTTCCTCCTATTTCTTAAAGTTTTCTTACGGTTCTCAAGATGTGGCAATGAGAGCATTCAGAAAATACTGAAAATAAAAGAAGACATCGTTGGCCACAAGCAAGCATCCGATTTTATATTCAGTTTATTGTGCTGTGAGTATGGAGGAGGCGGCGAGAACTGTTCCTTCTCCCTAATATTATTTGCGTAATAAAATTTTTGGTTTCTGGGAACGACCGAGGCGGCTTGGCCGCAACCTCTTCAGCTATAACAAATCAAAAGTTTATCTCATAAATAAATGAATGAAAAAGCTTATGACCAGCGGGCACACTCAAGCTGCGAGCGAGCTGCGCGTTTCATTAAACGCTTCTTGGTGCAACAGCCAGCTTAAGTTGGACCCCACTTAAAATTCACAAGATGTTATCCTGGTACCAGGAGACTGTGGACGTTGGCTGAACTTCGAGTGCAGCCAGGCTAGGGCCTAATTAAACTCTTTTCGCCCTATCGCCTTTTCCCTGTAAGTATGCCTTAAGGATATCCCCGAGTTTTATGGCTTTATCATTTAAAAACCATATATTGAGCACTTCTCACAATCTTATAGGCAAATCACAAAGGCCACACGCTGCTCTTGATTTAAAGCTTTGCAAGTCAATTTGACCTTTTGTATTTAATTAATACTGCCAAAGGGACCAGTAAATTGATTACATTACTCGGGCACATACGCACTAGATATCACTCACATTAATGCACCCACGCACTCCAATGTCATAAACTCACATTAGGCTCATCGCGAAAACTGGTTTTGATGCACGAGTTCATTAGGATTTATGAAGCAGGGGCCACCCACTGCATTTTCATTAAGCGTAAAATGTTTGGGATTTGAAAAGCACTGCAAAATGAAATATTGACAGAGAATTAGGCTTCAATCTTTGACTAATCTCTATGAAGTAATATAGAAGTGTTTAGCTCTTATATTAGCTAATAGGGTATAGTATACTTGGCTTTCGTTTTTTTATTTATAGGAAATATTTTAGTTTCGATCATTTGAAACAAATGTCAACAATTTAGTTAGTGGCTTGACTTAAAATATGTTATTCGAATGTTTCATTTCTTTGCTGGATATCAACAAGTCATTTAATAGACTTAAATTTCCTTAGTCTTAGGTTCTCTATATACAAACAAATAACTATAGTTTAGTCTTATATATCCGATAAACTCGAAACCCTTTTATGCCATATCCAATATCCTGGAAACCCCTTTCGGCTTGGTACATAGACCTTAATTAAGCAGTTACACTGATTTGGGTATACAAATCAACCTTTGCTTAACTTGATTAGGTGAATGGGAATTGGGGTTGAAAATTCGGTCGAATCAATTTACGCGGTAATGCAACTGCAAAGTGAGCTAAATAAACATCGATAGGCCCAGTCTCTCTGTAAATGTAGCCCGAGTCCAGCAGGACGCAGATGCTCCGGTTGAATGTAGGCGTCGAATGCGCGGCAACGGCTCATAACTCATCGCGTTCTGTTGACTGGCTGGTGTTCGAGTGGGCTGAGTGGGGCTGGCGGATTTGGTAGCTATCTAAAGTTGCCAATGCTGCCCATTTGGGGCTGTATTGTTTTTGTGGTGCTCGCTTTTTGGAACGTTAATTGCAATACGATGCTCAGCGGCCCTGGGCGCCAGACTAATTGCTTTCGCGCAATATTTCCAGCGCAAAACTTTTCCATTTTTCATTCTTTTTTCTTTAAATTTATGAACATATTTAGTAATGGCAGCTCCACGGCATGCCACCTAGTGTTCTATTACATAAGCTGGTCATGAGCAGTGACAGCGGCTGTCGTACTTACCTACTTTATGAACGCACGACATACGCGCCATGTCGGCTGCAAAAACCGGAAGCGGAAATGCAGAACAACTGCTTTGTCGTTCAGCTGTTGTGTTCTGTTGGCTGTCATTGCTTGTTGTCTGCTCTGAGGTTTGTTTTGCCCATTTTTATTTGACGCTCCTCTCTCTTCTGCCTTCATTGTGCGCAAGGGAGTGCGCCAGCAACCGGCCACCGAGCAACTCAACCCGAATTTCCTCAGCAATGCCAGTTTTCCCATTAGTCGTGTACATAACGTTAAACTAACGCTCAAGATTTAGTTCAGCAAACTTGAAAGTAGAGAAGAGTTTGCTACAAAACTTTTGTGTTACTAAAAACTTTTAAATTGATTAGTCGTTGCTGCTGTGGGGAAACCTATTTTAGTTTAGCCCACCCTGCCCCATCAAGCCACGCCCACTATCAGACGACTGGCTGCATTTCAATTAGCCATTTGCGTAGAAAAAAATTCATTACCCATGTTTAATCTTATTTTGCCTGGTAGCACTTGCTGCAAATGTTCTTTTGGGATGTCGCCGCTTTGTCAGCCCCATTAGCGTTGCGATAGACTACTAATGGCCACTGTGTCAGTGAGACATTGTTCAAGAAATACATATATACAACCCACTCAACAGTTGGATGATAACAGCATAGAAATGCTGATGCTGCTGCAGTTATGAATTCATTTCCAACTAAAGAAACAGCACAGCACAGCACAGCAAACAGGTGTCTTTAGTGCCAGTAACTGGGCCTCGCCTAGTTGAGTATTCTCTCTTTTATTTACATTTCCTTTGAAAGTTCTTGCGGCAATACGGTTATGTTCTGACTCAATAACCTTGGACATTAAAATGTAGCCATGTGAATGCATTTTCTCTATTTTTCTCTATTTTTTAATTTTCATTTGAGTTGGCAATAATAATATTACATCTGTAGACTATAGATATAGCTTTCAAAATTACTGCAAAAACTTTAACATAATATTTTCCATTTATTTGAGTTTCTTGCTTTCATCATATTTTGAGCTTGTAAAGTTTTTTCTTGTTAATATTATATATTATTTGATTCACAATGGAAGTTTTTTTCAAGCTTGACTATAAAAACTTTGTTTATTGCAAATATAATATCATCAAATATCTCAAATGACGTTTCTGAAATTTTACTATTTAATAGACAGAGAAATTGTTGCACATTTTTTATAAATATAAATTTCTGAGAACCCATATCTGCAAAGATTCAATTACTATAGAGAATATATTCATACGTTAAAGTGCATACAACAGTCTCAGTGAGCAAGCACGGCACGGCTCTTGTCTCCTCCTTTTCCTTAAAGTTTTCTTACGGTTCTCAAGATGTGGCAATGAGAGCATTCAGAAAACACTGAAAATAAAAGAAGCCATCGTTGGCCACAAGCAAGCATTCGATTTTATATTCAGTTTATTGTGCTGTGAGTATGGAGAAGGCAGCGAGAACTGTTCCTCCTCCCTAATATTATTTGCGTAATAAAATTTTTGGTTTCTGGGAACGAGCGAGGCGGCTTGGCCGCAACCTCTTCAGCTATAACAAATCAAAAGTTTATCTCATAAATAAATGAATGAAAAAGCTTATGACCAGCGGGCACACTCAAGCTGCGAGCGAGCTGCGCGTTTCATTAAACGCTTCTTGGTGCAACAGCCAGCTTAAGTTGGGCCCCACTTAAAATTCACAAGATGTTATCCTGGTGGCAGGAGATTTTGGACGTTGGCTGGCCACATTTAAGTCCAGCCAGGCTAGGGCCTAATTAAACTCTTTCGCCCTTAAGGACTTCCCTGAATTTTATGGCTTTATCATTTAAGTACCTTACATTGAGCGATTCTCACAATCTTTTGTGCAAATCACATAGGACACACAGTGCTTTCAAATCTACTCTGACAGTAATTTGAAAATGTTCAACTCAATTTAATTACAGTTGCTCACATACCACACGTTAATGCACCAGCGCACACAAGTTTCATAAACTCACATTAGGCTCATTGTGAAAACTTTGATTTTGATGCAGAAGTTTATTAGGACTAACGGAGCTGGGGCCACCCACTGCATTTTCGCTGAGCGTAAAAAGTTTTAGCTCTAAGGTCTAATGTCTAATTAATGATAGTGAGAAATGTAACCTTATGCCTCTATGCAAATGCAGATATTTTAATCCTGGAAACGTCTCACGCCTTGACGACGTGTATAAGTTTTTTTTCGACTTACCTTCAGGGGTAGTTGAAAGTTGTATGAAACATAATTCCATTGCCTTAAATTGAATATGCAATAAATATTTGAGTGAAATTTGCATGTATTTAATTCGATTGCCATGCAACTAGAGTGGCATTTAGGTAAATTAAATTCACTTTGAAATCGGCGCCTTTTTTAAGGGGATTACGAGAGTTCAGAGCGGGAGGAGCAGCGCGAAATGTGC